AACGATCAAATCCTCCCCCCCCCCACCTTATAGCGTTCGTGAAAAAAGAGAAGATCAACTATTTTTTTTTCTTAGCAAATAGGACCCCTTACGCCCTCGCGGTCAAACACGACCCTCTCCATTGTGATCATCGCAACGATGGCGTGCCCTACTCTGCGAGGAGGGAGGGGAATGGGTGGATAAGTTATTCCCACCTAATCTTTCGACGCGCTTTCTCTCATTCACCATATTCTCTGAATGTGAATGTAGCTTTAGTGGATCAGTACCGGCAACTTCTAGAAACGAACTGTAACCGTATTATAAGCGACAGTTTTTGAACCACACCAAATGGTGTTCAAGACGAATACGCTTCGCTGAAGAAGAATGTGGCAGGAAAGAGATGAACGAAACACATTATATTCAGAATAGCATCAGAAAAACAAACCGAATGATCAAGAAATTTCCGCAGGAATATGCTGAAGTTCCTTTGCTCTACATGTATTTAGCAGACTGCTATGGTTTCAGCACAAACATCCCAACTATTGTGCATGGAAACTGCAACACCAACCTTCTGGAGGAAACCCATATACTGTACCAAACCCTCGGAAAGTGGAAGTTAAAAACGGATAAGCGGCTTACACAATGAGTTTATGAAGACACTAGCGTTGGATTTTCACCACCCTGAGCTTCTGTAAAGGAAATCACGATTCATTCACTCTAAAAATGTACTATTCTGCTGCTTGGAAAAATAGGCAGACGTAATGTCCATCATTTTTGAAACATCCCATTTAGAAAACAGTGTTCAGTTTAGTATGAGAAGTGTCTGGAGTAATGTGAAAAACATCCGTGACCTGAAGTATAAAAATGATTCCAAAAATGTCCGACAAAGCGAACAGACTCGTTTCGAATTTTTTTTGACGAGTGTTTCGTCATCACATTTCATTTTTCTCCTTTGTTTCGGTTCGAGCATATTCCGATCCAATTAGTGTGTAGAACAGTGTGAGAAAGCTGGTCGAACAAAAAATATTTCACCTTGATATGCATTTTTTTCTCGCGCTGCATGAAATATTTTTCACGAAAAAACTCAAACGTCTGCCTTCTCCTTCACAGCTGCGATTAAGCGCGTACTTCGGGCAAAAGTGTTAGTTTATGCTTTGCTGCAGGGTTTCGGGGGCTTTAGCTTTTGTAGCGACAAGCAGAGTATAGGTATCGATTCAGCGATTGAGCGTCCCCCACCCCCCAGCTTCATGAGGAGCCTCCAGCGCTTTCAGCGGTAAGATGCTCATACTGCCGTAGACGCTGAAAGCGCTGGTAGATGCTAAAAGCGCTGGATCTGTGTCTATACTGTCCTAGTCCCTCAAAACGCCCAAAACGTATCGGGCGCGGTCGCAAAGTGTGAACGCACTTTTAATTGGACGTATTCATCTCTGATTTGATTACGGGGCTGTTGTCAACGAGACGTGCCCTCGCTGCAAGTGTATTTTTTCGGGGCATCTACTAACACAGTAGCTGAAGGGAGAAGGTAGGCATCTACTAGCACAGTAGCTGAAGGGAGGAGGTAAATGAGGAGGGAACAGAGAAGGAATGAAATAAAGGAAGGAAGGAGGAAGAAATAAGGAAAGAGAAGGGAGGCTCCGCGGTTGAGAAGTGCCCTGAGACGCTCTGATTTACGTCAGTCACAGCAGTTCCAATGATACCTTTTCGCGGCTATCTCTAGCTGACTTTGATCAACCGCTCTACTGAAAATCGGACTACGCGGAACCCAAACAAATGGCATGGGCTAGTTGAGGCGATGATGGAAATAGGTACTACAGTGAATCTGATAGTAAAGCTTTAACCCAACACCAGTTTTTTAAATCTCAGGATATCTCTGAAGATGTCCAAAACTCTTTTCATTCATATAAGAGCTGCTTTCTTCTCTCCTTCTGTGAAGAAGTTTGCATACTCGTTGATAACAAACGGTAATCTCACGGACAACTTCGCGAAGAAAACTGTGTTGTAACGAATTGGGTCATCATGATTGATCACGCTTGGCATGACGCCGTAGAAGGTTATCAGCTCAAGGTGAAACAGAACCAGAAATTTCATCAGCCCCTTTTCAGCAAAATGATTCGATATCACATAATGATACGATTTGAAGGAAACGTGGAGCTGCTGGAAGTATTACAAAGAGACTTGTACGCAAGTGGACATTCAGAATAGACGTAGGGCTCAGAGCTCAGCAGTTGTGGAGCGTCAGATAGCAACGGTTCATAAGAATCGGACATACACTTTCTTCGAGAATTTGAATGAAAATAACGTTTCTATGACGAGTTCTGGTGCTAGAATCACAAACGGCAAAAGTAACAAGCGGAAAAGTTATTGGGGTCTTAATTATCAAATATGAGCTCTACAAGCAACCTAGTGAAGTGCTTAACCAAAACGCATGAATTGTAGAAATTTTGGACAAGACCTCTGGGAAAGCGCGAATCAAGGGCACTTCAGGATTTCGTGAAAGCCACTACTAGGCAAAGACTAAAACTCACCTTAAATCTATTCTCGGCTCCAGGCTCCTTGTTTTTATCTGGGTGGTACTTCAAAGCCATCTTTCTGTAAGCCTTCTTGATCTCGTCATCGCTGGCTCCTTTCGCTACTCCGAGGATTTTGTAATAGTCTTTTCCCATTTTCAGCGAGTAGAATACTCTGAATAGGCGGCAATCAACTCGACATAACGACTGTAAAATTCATCTTCAAAGAAAGCGAGAGACACATCCCCGAGTAGAAAAAGAGAAATAAATGACTGGGAAGAGAAAACACTCAAGACACAGATGACCCGTATCGACCCTTCCCAAGACCTCGACAACTTCCTGATAGAGAGCAGTAAAGAGAGTAGTACCCAAATGACCTAACTTTTACGGGAAAACCTTTTATATATCCCCCGATCAAGAAGAAAGAGCCAACGACTGACAACACCGCAGTCACACGCATGCCGATAGTGCTGGGCGTTCACCATGGCGAGCGCTCTAGAATCTTCGCGGAGTTTCTCTCTGCTCCTGTTACGAAAATCATGTTCGATCTTCCGCTTCCTATGACACGCTACCCGCGACGGCACGATTTGGCTGTTTGTAAAACGCAAGCTGGTATGTTGTCGCTATCGTGTCGTCGTTCGGATCTTTCAATCGAGACAATGGAGTTCCATCGGGCAGCACGCCCTTGTTTCTAGTCAAAGGAAGGTTGTCAATGAGATTTCTAGAGTCTACGATGACCTTATAGAAGTTATCACCGATATGCAGGGATCTGTAATGCTGCCGCGAGCAGCCTTACCTTCGCATCAACTGTTGCTGCTCAATTTTTATTTATTATTCGGCCTGTCTGACAGTTCATTTCTGATTGTACTCGCATGAATCTTCGCATATACAAAACTCACGAATATCTTTTGAAACCACCTCAGCAAATCATTTCATCTTTTTTTTCTCACTTTACCTTAGAAGAAAGTTATTGGAAAAGCTTCTCATTCTAAAAGTCCCAACTCCTCCATGTAGTGACAACAGAGTCCATGCCATCCGATGGAATTTGTTGCTCTGTCTTTGAAGTCTTAGCAGAGTGCTGACAACTTGCCAAAGATCGCCTTTATTGTCTAAACTAAACATCTCGCCATCTCCCCTGTTCTCTCCTTCTGCATAACCACGGTCTTTTTCGCTGAGGATGATGGGGCGTGGCGTGTCAGTGAAGCTGGCTTTGGCACAGCGGCAAAACCATTTTCCACATTTTTGAAGCAGGTAAGCGACAAAAAGTGGTGGAAAACGGCTGCCATGAACGATGTGTACAATCTTGTCACTAGCCTTCTCGAACGACTGGTTAAAAGGAGCTTTGACGCCGCGCCAGATCCATCCCTCCCGACAGGCCCATCATCCTCATGAGGAGTACTTGCTAATGAGTATGGAGAGCTGCTTGGCATATGCGCAGCTCGATCTTCAACGAGCGCGACACCACTGCACGTCAGACGTTGGGAATCCACGGGGAGGGGTGGTATTTGGTCACTGGGAGGAGAAGGGTTGCTTTTGAGAAGAATGTTCCCGGTTATTAACTTTTCTCTCATTTCCCGTAACAGACGCGCTTCCTCCGCCGCTCGACGGCAGCTCTTTGGAAGGAAAAACGGAGAAGTTCCCTAAGAAAAAAAACTCCGGAGGAGCGGCTGGTAGGAGACTGGTAGGATCTAGGTACATGGTGGTAGGATAGCGAAGAGAGGTCATATTTTGCAAATTTTTCCTGACGGCAATAAGTGTCTTTATACCATGTGACTAATCCCGAAGATCGCAGGGCTTCATTGGCGAATTCTGGCCCTCAGTTCACTCTGAGTGTTCCCATTTTTAGTCTTGTTATATTTATCCTACTGTTTGGGTGGTTATGTGCAGCAATCATTGAATCCAAACCCGAGCACAATGTCAAATCCTAAATCTTTCACGTCGAACTTTTTTTGAAGCTAGTTTACTTGCCACCAGACTGACGTTGGAGGATAAATATGTGCATCACCTGGTTCTTGCATATATCCGTTACGGCTAGTCCAAGGGTTAGAGCGCATTGGAAAGTCCCTGGGATTCTACTTAGAAGCAAAGTGAAAGTGCATGGCACAGAACCAAAATTCGGCGTTTCAATCGTGCTTGATGGTTGAGTGGGGGGTCATATTTGCCTTTGCGGGGAATGTTTTCGAATTGTCGCGGTTTCACTGTTCCAGGTGTGCTACATGCCTCACTCCTCTCTCCCAGGGCACAGCATTCGATGGGGATTTTGGTGAAGCCCGTACGACCCCCCCCCTTTTTTGGGGTTCGGTACGACCCCCCTATACCTAAACTTATGAAG